CCTCTGAATTAAACAGCTGCGCTAAATCAGACATGCCAGTTTCCCCTTCTGCGCTGTCAGTCACTTTCCGTGCAGCGCAGCTCCTCAGAAATAATGCCGGCTTTTGCAAAAGCTTGAAGAACAGAGCCAGCAGACACGTTATTCCAAGCATCTACAATCCATCCGCAAACGGTGGCGTAACTTGCCCGGCGCTGCCTTCAACTTATCCTGAAACTGTGGTCTCCGTCGGTCATCTATCGCTCCCACGCCGCTCGCAGCCTTACTTTGAATGGGCGCTTCACACCGATGTTGGGCGGTTGAAGTTCCTTTGTCAGACCCCCCGGGATAACGGCGAGCACAGCGTTCATTTGATTCACCTTTTTTTTCACATCGGCTGTGAGATGGGCACGCAGCGATGGTGATGGGTGGAAAAAAACACCTTTTCTCCTCACATAGGCTACACCTCCCTCAGCCACGCTTTCATCATCTCCTCTTTCATCAGAGCGCCGTGTCTGTCTCGCTGTCAGCTCCCAGATCAGCTTCTCTGATTGGTTGATGCGGCGCGTCCAGCAGCAAAGCTTAAAATTTTCCATCTGGAGCAGCAGCAGTGCGTTGGCGGTGCATCAGATGCTTAAACGATCCCAACGTGCTGCACCTGCGGCTCAAAACGCGCTGCAGGACCTTTTGCTGCACCTATACGCGCGTCAACCATTGACTTTGCATGTAAACTCGCTGCTTCTGCTGCACCTGCTGGGTCCGGTTCACACCGATGTCAAGCGGTTGAACAGCGAGCACAGGGTTAATTTGTTTCCCCATGTTTTTCACATCAGCTGTGAGATGGGCACGCATGGAGTTACAGATTAATGGTGATGAGTGGAAAAAAAACACCTGGTCTCCTTACATTCAGCCACTCTTTCATCATCTCCTCAATGAGGTGGTCTCAAAAGTCGCAGTTACAACACACATAGGGCGCACCGCACCATAGGGCGCACCGCACATTTTGAGGGGAAAAAAAGACGTTTAAGTGCGCCTTATAGTCGTGAAAATACGGTACCTAAAAAGTGTACTTAAGTACAGTAACAAAGTATTTGTTCTTCGTTACTTGACACCTCTGTTAATGGAAAGCAGAAGGGTTGCAATGGTATACTTGACTATATCAGCAACTTCATTGTATACAGATGTTCTGAAGATGAGGCAATTCATTGACCCCTGATATTGCTAACTTTATTTATGACATTTTACAATCTGTTTGGCTTTTACATAATCCTCATGTATTTCTCTGAAGGCTTGGTACCACTTGTTGAAATTGCTAATGGTAAATTAGATGTTGTGGTAACTAATAGGGTTTTCTCAACAAGTTGTTTTATATGTTGATACCTGTAGGCACAGAGGAATGTTGAATGTCGTTCTACCCTACATCGTATCTAGAGAAGCTTTTGGCTGAACACCCTGTTGTTGTAATGAGGATGGTCAATATTATCCATAATGTTAAATTTTCGAAGATATTTTTAAGCTCCAGATGTTATGCTATCTTTTTTATCTCTCCTCTTACCACATTATTAATGTGTCTAATTATATCAAATTATAGTTAACAACATACTTACTCGGTGACATTAACCCCTATATGTGAAATTGCTGCCCTTTTTGCTGAAAAAATAAATAGCTTAAACTGACATTGCTCATCTTTGACCACCGATCTTATATGGATTTTATATGAAAATAGAATACACACTTTTCCCTGTTTTAGTTGTGGGTTTTTTCTAGGTTTTTGGACCCTAGATAAAATATAGCAAAAATTGTGAGATTATTCCATTTAAGTATTTAGTTGCTTAAATTTCAATCTGTAGCATAACAAAAAAATCCAGAAGTAACATTTAAATAATGTCTTTGGTATGTAATACTAAAGAATACCCTCTTTATTAATTATGTAATCAGAAAATAAGGTTTACAATTTGTATGGTACACACAAATGCATATTTTAAATTGACCTGACTTTAAACTGACCTCAATTTTTTTTATATATATATATTTTTCTAATTACAAAGAAAATATTTTGTTTAAATGTGGGTTTGTATAGTTTGATTTAAAGAAAGTGGAACTAAGATCATATGTGGTAAAACATACAATACTCATGCATCCTGGACATTCTATGAGAGATGTGAAATTAAAATGAGGAGCCTATAAGCCACTAATGGAACAGTTCATAGGAAAATATCAAAAACACCATTGAAGTTTTTTTTATTAAGTTGGTCAATTTGTTTGTTGCTAAATATCTCCAAAATAAAAAAGTCCACTTCACACATAAACTAAAAAAAAAAAATAAAAAAATAGAAACCACAATACATGATCCTTCCTTCATAAATTAGAGCATGCTGAAGCATTGTTTATGTATTATGATCACAATGAGTCATGCAGAGGCTGTCAAAGGGATTAGGAGAAAATGGACAAATCTCCCACACAGGAGCAAGATCCACACATTGAAAGAGACAAAAAAAAAAAACAACATAAAATGCTCTATTGATGGATTTGGCTTTGATAACTGGAATATAAAGTAGACATAGAACAAATAAGCTTTTCAAGCAATTATCAGGTTTATCTGAGCTCCTTAATTCAAGTTAAATACACAAAATCCACACACATGCATTTGGATCATAGAGAAGGTTTAGTGTTAAATATAACCAGAGTTTCAAACTCTCTCCCTATCTGTAAACACATTTACTCTCCAAACAAACAATGAAAGCATGTGGGAGAATATTTTACTTCTTGGTATAGATTAAATTATATTTATTAATTATCTCACTTTTATATGCAGATTTATTGCTTATTTATTTACCACATAAATAAAAATGAAAATTTGCCTTAGAAGCTATATGGAAGGCTATTGTACATTTAAGCAGTTTGTTTCCTGGACATGGCCACCTGTGAGCTGGTTGAAAAGTTTGTATCTCTGCTTCTTTCTGTATCTCTGCTTCTGTCTCCTTGAACCCCAGTCGGCCTTTGCAGATGGCCGCTCACATTGAGCCTGGTTCTGTTGGAGGTTTCTTCCTGTTCAAAGGGAGTATTTCCTCTCCACTGTCTCTGCAAGCATGCTTAGTGTGAGGGATTGCCTTCGAGTCAATGAGTCGAAGTAATCAACTGGTTTTCCTTAGATAGGAAACTTTGACTGTATGATCTGGTTGAATTGTCAATGTAATGTGCCTTGAGATGACATGTGTTGTGAATTGGTGCTATATAAATAAACTGAATTGAATTATTGGTATTTAAGTGTGATTCAAGCTCTTATGTAGTCGAACTTGATAAAACATTATTTATCTATATGTAACGCATGAAAACCAAATTAAATTTCCTGTATTTTGAAACACTATTGAAACACTATATAAAGCTTCTTCTGACTGACTGCTGATGCTTTTAAAGACTTTATTTTGTGAACCTCACCAACCGAGCTGTTTGTTTTATGCATGTTAGTGCTAACCTTATTACAACCTTTCTCTTTTTAAAGAATTTTATTAAATTAAATACATACATACATATAAATAAATACATACCTGAACATAGATATGTTTAAGTTTGCTTAAAATGACACAGAATCGTTGTTGCAAAGGAGCTAAAGAGGGGGTAATGGAACATGAAGTCACCTACGAATATTTTTGTCTCTCTTTTTTTTTTTTTATATCTGCTATCTGCTCGAGGCACTTGGTAAAACCACCAGGATATTGTTGGCATTTCAAATTGTCTTTTTTTTAGGTTTTGAGGTATGCATATAAAAAAAAACCACAATGATTGTAACAATAAGCAATTAAATAATGAGAGCAAGTTCTGTTTTAAAATATAAACACATCAGTCCTGGAGGACTTGTGTTGGGATTTGTTTTTATTACCTGCTATATTAAAATATATTAAGGTGATTATTTTTGCAACTCTGCAAAACTCAATGCTCTTTACAAGATTTAAATCAGACGACCCGACCCAGGCTTTGACTCCAGATGTTTTTTTCTGACTTTTTGACTTTTGAAAATCTGCTAGCAGATTAACTGAGAGTGATATTACAAAAAAAATAAATAAATATAAATAAAGAAAACTGAAGACTCTAAAGAGTTTTACCAACTAAAGTATCTGAAAATCTCTTTACTTTTATTGTCAGTTTTTATCTCATGTAACCATAGGTTTAATCTAACTGGTACCATATTTAAGCTGCAAAACACAGGTCTTTTTTGCTGATCTGCTGCTGCACACATTTTACTGTGAAAGAAAGCTTTTAAACATAAACACACTCATGAATCAGTGTATTTGCTCATAGCGATTTATGTTAGCTGTTCCTTAATAATTATGATAACAAATATTTCACCAATTTAACTTTTTATTTAATAACTTCTGCTCATTTCTAATCACAAACTCAATTCTTACCATCCCTACTTGCTTGCTTTCAAGATACTGCATCCTTACGAGGGAAATTCCTCTAGAAAGTATCAAAATAAAATAGCTTCCAGTTCTCCTTTCAGAAGCTCTAAAGGCTCTCTTTCTCACCTGCTCTCAACTGAGTGCCTCATTCATTATGTTAGAATGTACAGACTTTTAATAATTCGATATAACATAAAAGGTTTTGAATATATATATAAAACATAGTTACAGCACATTATTTTTTAAGTACTATTTTGTAGAGAACAGGAACAAATCTACAGATGTTTAGCAGATATTAACAAAGCCACTGCGATATTTATATGTATAATTTAATTCAAATAATAATAATAAAGATTTATAAAGACAAAGATTACAAACAATTCATATTGACTTATAACACTTGATTGCTGAATTTAATATGATAAAACTATAAAGGCAATATATGTATTTTTTGTTAAATTGTCTCAAAGGACAAACAATGCATGATTAGCATTAAAACCATAGCTCTGCTTTGATGCCAAGGCGGTATTAGATTTGATTAGGAAAAAAATCTCAGAGAAGAGAGACTTGACTTGGGAATAGAAACATTTCTGTCTGTTTTTTATTCTTTTCCTTTCTTAACAGGTCCAACTGGGAAAATTCTTCTCTTGGCTTTCCTTATCCTGAGAAACAACCTCAAGTGAATCTTATCAACATTTGGGGTGACTCGGTTTCCTTTGATCCACCTTAACTCCTCAACCAAAACGTCCCTGACCACATAAGAAGGTATTGGTATGACCACATATGTTTGAACACCTGTATCAAGCTGTTTCTATAGGATCACATTTAAAGGATTGAAGCTGATCACTTTACATTGATTACTGTGCTGTACATACTATGACAGTTTGGTTTAATTTGTCTAACAAAATTAGAAGGTACAGACTTGTTAAAGCATCTCACTGGACAGACTTACATTTATCTGTCTTAAAGCTCCGAGTTGTGATGAATGTCCATCAAAAGTGGGGGAAAAAAGTAAAATTTAAAGTGAGAGAAAGAGAAACTGAGACAGAGACAGAAAGAATGGCTGCCACTTCCACAGATGAAATGGCTGTGTGGGTGGATGTACATGTGAGTGCAGGCTGCTGGGAGCTATGAGTGGGAAGCGGGTACTGAGTAGGAAGAGGAGAGCTACTTTAGTGAGACAATAAACACCAGTACGCTGGCAGTCACGCTCTCATGGTTCATGTGTTTTGTGAATCTCTAGAATGACAGTCCCAGGTATTCAGTTAGGATCTGTTTCTTGAAGAGAAGGCAGCTGAATAAGTGTCAGTTGATGGGTTTCTTTCTACAATTCACAAAGTACAAAATGAAGATTCAAACAGTTGCAGTCCATTAAAAAATATAAATGCCTGGCTTATACACAAGGTAGATTTTATGGTAAATTCAATATATAGAACTAATTGTTTGAACAGTTTGATTGACAGTTTTCGGCCCAATAAAGGAATGTTACCTATATTCAATAAGAATTAAATATAGTCCTCAGGTAGTTATCAGCCGGCAATATATTAAATACAGTTACCTGATATTTTAAGGTTAAATTGCCCTCTAAACTGTGCACAGAGCTTGACCTTTTCATTACAATACAACAAAAGACTAGAGGCTTCTTATAGTAATTAAATGTGGTAATGTAGAAAAAGCACATTCTAAATGTAAAATAAATTAGAAAGAAAATGTTTTTAATAAAAACAATCTGGGAAAACATGAAATTTTTTTTATTATTAGAGCTGCAGATTATTAAATATAAGTCTTTTACAGCTTTGGACATCTGTACACTGACATTTATGCCCATTTTTGCCTGATTGGATCAGAAGTCTTGACATTGATCCCGAAGTCGTTATTGCCTCTTATACAATTTCTCCCACAATTTATTTATTTCTTTATTATTATCTTTTATATATAATTATGTTTTTTGTTCCAAATGAATAAAGTTATCAAGCACTTTCCTGATAACTTTGTTCTTTCACTTTCCAATGTATTTTCCTATAGACAAGGGGTGTTACTATGACAAATAATTACTATGTCACTGTTATTAAATGTATTTTCCTATAGACAAGGGGTGTTACTATGACAAATAATTACTATGTCACTGTTATTAAAATGTTGCTGAAATGCAAATCAGGTTAGCCTTATTTTATTAATGAATTCATTAACTTTTATACATTGCCTTAATCCCCACTGTTGTCATGAGAGTGGTCTGGAAAATCCTCCAAAATGGCCACACTTAAGGCTCTTCTCCAGGTTTCCTTCCCTAAACACAGAAGCCAGTCTTGGAGCTTTTTTTTTTTTATCAAATACATTTGAACATTTCATGATAATTAAAAACCTTTTTTTTTTTTTTTTTTCATTTAAAACTTTGATTACGATTAGAATAACATTGCAAATATAATGAATGCAATATAATGTGCTTTGAATTGTTTCAATTTTTTTTTATATATTCTGAAGGTGTGGCGTCTTTTGTTTTGCTGTAAGTTAGCTATGATCAATGACATGTATAGCAAATTCTGCAGGTAGTGTATTTAATGTGAGCTAGAAAGTAAGTTTGGTTTCTTTTAACCCGAACACCTTAACTCATATGCTTGAGGTGTTTTATAAATGGCTTTTGGGTGAAATGCAAATGTGACTTTTAATGGCTGTTTTTATCTCTATAAGTAGCTTTTTTTTTCTTACTAAAAAACTGTAGACATTGATATTTAGTCAATTCCTAGTTTCTAACTGCCAAAATATTTGAATGGTACCTACCAAGGTCATACAAAATGTTAGTCATTATAAAAGTCAAGTACTGTATAATTAAGAATTGTATTTTAATATGCTATGAAAGAACCTGGACCAAACTTATGTTTTCCAGAATTCAAATAGACTCAAGTATTTTTTGTTTTTTAGCACAGATTGACCCTATGAACAAGGGTGGCCTTTATGTTTTAAAGCCAATCAAACGAGTAAATTATCTTCTTTTTATTCAAATTTAAAACTGTCCTTCAAGTCTGCAACCTGTTCTCAAGGAGACTGTAGATTTGCATAACATTTTTCAAAGTACTGTTGGTGTTTATTTCATTATTTATTCAAAGCTGAAACATGAAAATAAATATGAATGAGATATAGTAGTTAGGGCTGGGCGATATAGAAAAAAAGCTTATCGATAAAAAAAAAAAATGCATATTGATCGATATAGATAATTATTGAAAAGATTTGAAACCATATTTTATGTGCAGCTCTGCCTGGACATTTTATGATATTGCTAAATGATTTCATTTTAATAATAAAACACAAACACAGACTTCAAATTAAATCTTTATTTAACCAACTTTTTTAACCATAACAAAATTGTTTTAAAGAAAAATAACTTAAGAGACCTGAGTTATGTTATGAAATACTGACAAAGAATAAACTAAAGTGACCAGAAAAGTGACCAAAATAAATATAACAAATAAATAAATGCCCCCCCCCCACCCCCGCCGCCGTTTCCTGCTTTAACCTGAGTTATTACTTTGAAGTTGCTGGCCCCTCAGCATTTTTATCTAAATTGTTAGAACTACGTGGGAAACTGCCCAGAACTGAAAATATATATATATTTTCCCGAAATTCCCGAAGATTCCTCGGAGGAGAGCTGCGCCGGGGCCTACACAGCTCGTACTCCTGCGGGTGTGAGCGGCTGAGATGATAAAAAAAAAAAAAGTTGGTTGTGTTATCAGACCTCGTTTTCAGTGGTTCCCTACACATTTTACAGATGACTGTGGTTTGTTTTTTGTCCGACTTGCCATGACCAAAATACTGCCAGACTGCCAAACTACAAAAACCCTTCTTTGGAACAATTTCCTCCGCCTCTCCTTGCTGCGACATCTTCATGTGCTCTGTGTTGTGGTTTGAGAGGGCGGCGCTTTGTGATGGCGTGCCTGGGTCCGCGATTGTGATTGGTTGGGAGCAGTGACGTGCGGTGAGGTTCATAGCTGGTGAGGCACTGACGTCATCAGAATCAGATTTGCAAATAGATGCATAGATTGACAGCAGTTTACAGGTTATGTTTCACTTCTGCATCCTTACACATACAAACTGTAGCTCACAAAACACACATTTCCTTAAAAAACAAAACAAAATAAATGTTATTACTGTCTTACCTTTACTTATAAATGAATAGAAGTCCTCCTTATCTTCCTTCAGTTTTAAAAGTCTCTCAGTCTCAATGGAGATCACTGCCAGGGAAGAAAGCCTTCCTTGATCCGTCCTGTTCCTGCCTTATGTTTTCAGTCTCTTGAGCACCCCCTGCCATGAGGCAAGAGAACTGCCTGCCTCACCTCGAACTTGTTCTCTGCCGTTTATAATCGCTCATTACACGAAACACGTTACACAAACACAGTTGGTGACAAAAAGCTCTGTACATTATATACATAAGCCAAATTATTAGAAATAAGTTCACATATTACATTTGTTTAAACCATTTTATTGACGCCGTACAGCAACATGCTCTCTCCGCTTTGCAGCCAGCGCAGAGCCAGGGGTTGCGCAATCCAAGGTGAGGCAGAGCTCGCTGCTGCCTCACCGGCATCGCTTCCAAGCATTTGAATGGGAAAATAAGAAAATTCAGCGATTTTGAACAAATAAAAATCGAAATTGGTGAAGCTACATGAAAAATGAATATTTTTTAGTACAAACCACCGGATGAATATAACAATTTAAATTACTTTATGATTATATATTTTCTTTCTTTCCATGATGGCTGGTGAGGCACTGCCTCACCTGCCTCCCCTGACCGCACGTCACTGGTTGGGAGGAAGCAGTGACTAGCATAAACCTACATGCTAGGCTACAATGAGAAGGAAGGAAAACTGCGTTTCTTTTTTATCCAACTTTTATCGACCCGCTTTTTTTTCTATTGCGCCACACGTCTATCGATCGATATATATCGTTATTGAATTATCACCCAGCCCTAATAGTAGTACAGGTGTTTTTGTTCATTTTATTCTGGAAATATTTGGTTAGATCCCTTTACTTTTTTTCATTGCTTATTCTGCTTGAGTTCATTCATAAAATCCCTCCATCATCTCTAGATGTTTATCCTTACATGGTGATAGGATAGGTCCCTATCTCCAGTCTTCATTGGTGAGAGGCAGAGGACTCTTCTGACAGGCTGCCAGTCCAGAGCATAGCAACACAGACACACATAACACACGATATGCATGCATAAGTTCATGCATAAGTTCAAACCTAAGTGCAAGGTAAAGAGGCCATCTAACCATGTTAGTCGGGTTCTTATGCACTGTTCAAAAACGTTGCAGTACTGTCAAAAAATGCATGCATGGACTGGGAACATGCACCTCTGTTGCATAAAAGACCCCAGACTGGAATTTGCGCATCTTTGTGCAAGGCAATGGTAATAACACTGCCCGACTCTGCAGACTAGTATAAAGTAGTTTGATATATCTCTGAATCAATGTTGCTCAGAGGTGCTCTTAGATAGCAGTAGTAAAATCTGTTCTCCATCTAGATCTCCTTTAATTCCACTGCAAAGCTGACAGTGAATTTAAGAAGTCTTTAAAGGCTTTGTTTTGCTTATTCCAAGTGTTTTGATAGCTATTTTTCAAACCTTTAGTTATTTCATGTACAAAATATGATAGTTGACTCCTACTATTTATACATTTTCTTACATATCCTTAGATAAACCGCATATGAATTATTAGTCAGTTATAAGGCAAAATGCAAGAAACAAAAAAAAATATGTAAGGCTCAGATTT